CATTTATTTTTGATGAGCTCATGGTGATAAATGTATAATAATAATACGCTTAAAGATAGTAAATAGTTTTTAGTACATTCTAACGTTGAAAAATGTAACGATTTGGCCAATTCTGGTCATTTTCGAAAAATTAAATTGGTCTTTCCAATTAAATTTACGAATACCAATGGAATGGATATTCTTGTACCATTAACTTCCAATAATATTTCGTTTGACAACACAATGTGAACAACCCAATACATTAAGTTTTAAATTGAAAATCTAACGATTCATTTGTTCATTTACGCTGGAATAAAAAAAACTATTTATTCGGAAAGAGTTTTGCGTAATTTAATTTAAAACTCTGCAGAAGAACTTTTTTATACGTCATTTATTGCATTTATTTTTCTTTATTTGTGGAATTAGTATTTTGAATTTTCGAAATGAAACTGACATCTTTCCAACATTTTTCGATTGACACGGTGTATATGTGTCGAACCAAATCCAACGATATTCATTCATATGTATTAAACATGTGCTCGCATCGTTTGACAGTATTGTTAGTATAAACAACTATCGCACCAACCGATTTTATTCACAATAAAACATTGTTTTGTTTTCAATAGGATTTCATGAGAATTATATGTGAGTGTTTTTAGCGTGGTTTGGGCGATCAATTGATTTTATTGTCATTTCAACAACGGTTTTATGTATTCGGAATGCTGTTCGCTGGCGAATGGATGTATTCACAGTTGATTTTGTGTTCATTTTTGTTTTAATTTCCAAATAACCAAGTGTTTATGAAATTTATTGTTAATATTCCAACAACATTTCGATCGGGAAAATATTTGATGTCACATTGGAAATAAATTTCATCATTCGATTTAGAACACAGAGTCACTTTGTTGAGGTAAGACGTGATATTTATGATGCGTTCTTCATTACTGTTTCATTTGATTTGTGATAGAAGTGTTTTTATCTTATTGTGTTTGTGATCTTTGCTATATTTGGTGCATTTTTTCTAAATTTGTGTCTATTTTTTAATTTTCGTTTATTTGTATCAGTTCTTCAAGAATGAAAAGAAAAAGAGATAACAACGATTCGCCGGTATACGATGACGAAAGAAAAGAAGAAGAAAATTTTGAGGGAAAACATCACAATACCAAATACGCGATTCTACGAAAAGGAATTCTATCAAAATGTTACGAAAAGGAATGTCAGCATAAATAATATTCACGACTGGATTTTGATCATTACATGAAGTCGAACCAAGTAAATGATAACATCGCCGTGACTGTGACCAACAACATGCCATCAATGATTATCTTTGGTGCATCGGATATGCCACCCAATTGGCCATTTGGTTTTAAGAGACGGAAAAGATGTCCAGGATCGCGAAAATTTTTGGTGAGCGTCAAGAAACTTGGCCATTCAGTGGTGAAAATGGAAGATGAACATCCCAAACATGCGCGAATTGCAAAGAACGATTTCCAGTGAACACAAAATCACATCGATTTAAAGTGTGCAACGATTGCAAGGTGAAACCGATTGCTGGACTAACGGACTCAGTCGCTAGTCTACCAGATATAATTGTGGCAACGGTTAGCAAACGTGCTTTACAAATGGGACGGAAGGAAATTAAGCGTCGAATTCGCAATGGCAATTATCAGGATGTGGAGGAAATACTTTGGAATGAGTTAGCGTAGCTAGGCTTGACGTAATTTGCGTTACACAAATTTTATGGCCTTGTTGTGAGTTCATAAGAGCAGTACAGCGGTAGTACGGAGGGAAGAAGCCCGTAGGTGAGTTTTTTATTTAAAAAATGATATTCCATGTACAATTCAATTGATACTAATGATTGTCGTTCCTCTTTTCCATGTATTCACACCTGAATGTTACGCTATGGGGACCGTAAAAATGACTGAAACTACAAATCGGACCTAGTGTGTCCTTTTTCTTAGTTATTAGTTACATCACAGCCTAAAATAAACCGTTTTACCATGGGGTCAATCACGAAATTCTAGTGCATCTAGTTTTTGATAAGATTTCACTAGAAAACTAGAAAATTGAGAAAACCGAATATGACGTAAGTTTTGCGATACAATAATATTTACTATAAAAGTATATTTAATATTACTTTTCATACAAAAATTTGAAAAACATTGGATTTTTTTATGGAAGCCATGCCTGTATGATATCGTAATGAGCTGAAACTTTGCACAGGTTATTTTTTTCACTCTAAAATAACATTCAGAGGATTTGAAGAGGTAATAAGATAATAGGTACCTCCCGAACAAAATTTTGGATTTTTTGCTCAAAAACGAAAATTTTGAATGTCAGGTACCACTCGATGGGAACTAGTATCGTATATTCCCCATACAAATTAATTTTATCGATTCTACGAATACGACATCTGTTAAAAAAGATACCGATTTTTGTTACTACTGTTGCTTTGACACAGCTCGAGCGAACTATACGGCTATGGCTGTATTACAGACGAACTAATACAAAAGAACACACAGACTCCGATCCTGTGTATGCGTATGTATTGTAAAGGATCGAGTACTATCTGTCAAAATATTTCCCCTTATGCCAAGCGAAATTTATTCGATATACGGCGCTGATGTAAATGTCACTCTGTCATTTCACAATAATACTTTTTTTGGCTTGACAATAATAAGCTCTCCATTTAAAATGCATACACATTCATAATTATTGAATCGTTGAAAAAAAACATGTCAAAAAATATTTTTCTAACATTTTTCATTAAAAATTTTATAAAAAATTTTTTTATAAAAAAATTAATTTGTTTATAAATTACAATAATTTCAAAAAAAATGTTTCATCGATTAAATAAGAATCCAATGTAAATAGTAATGACAATGCGACACCTACCGTAGAAATGCAAAAAGAAACTTAGTTGGTCTCCATTGTAGCATTTTGGTCCGCCATGACAGCATCTTCGTTTTACTTGACCAATCACAGAGAAGCAAAACGAAGATGCTGTTATGGCGGACCAAAATGTTACAATTCCAAATAAGTTTCCTTTTCCATTTTTACGGTAGGTGTCGCATTGGTATTATTTCTTACATTAGATTCTTGTTCAATCTATGAAAAAAAAAATTGAAATTATTGTTATTTTTAAACAAATAAATTTAAAAAGTAGAGAATTTTTATGAAAAACGTAAGGAGAATATTTTATGATATGTTTCTTTTTTTTACTCGACCGTTCAAAAATTATGCATGTTGAATGAAGAGCTTATGTATTGTCAAGCCAAAAAATGTATTATTGTGGAATGACATAGAGTGACATTTACATCAGCGCCGTATATCGGATTAATTTCGCTTAGCAAAGGAGGAAGCGTCGTACTCGGTCCTTTTGCACAAGCAGCTACGATTGACGACTGAGTGCCGAATTTGTAATACATACGCATACACAGAATCGGAGTCAGTGTGTTCCTTTGTACGTTTACACGAGCTGTATTAAAACACCACTAGTAACAGAAATCGGCTAGTTTTTTAGTAGATGTCGTATTGGTGGAATCGATAAAGAAAAATCTACGATATTAGCGCTCATTGGTACCACTCAATTGTATTGAAATTTCTTCAAACTTTCAGAATATTAGCTTTTTGTGAAAAAAATAACATCTGCCAATTTTCACATGTATACGATATCATACAGGCATTGAAAAGTCGTTCAAAAATTATTTGTATCGCAAAACTTATATCAGATTCAGTTTTCTCATGAATTCATATTTACGGCAAAAGATACGTAATAAATGCATGTTGTGGATCACAGTGCGGAAAAGTTCATCTTACGGATGTAAGACATTTTATTTTCGAAGAAAACTGGTATTAAAGATCTTATTTAGAATTGAAAGAAAAATGTTGAAGCGAAGAATTGAATGGGTCAGAATAAAAATCCGACTTGTACCTATAAAACTGTCTATAAAAGTGTAACAAAGCGTTTTTTTACATAGAATTGTTGTTGTATTACAACAAATAAACTATGTAAAAAAAACTCCATGTTCCACTTTTAAGGACTCTGCGTACAAGTCGGACTTTTATTTTGACTCATTCAATTATAAGAATAAGTATAAAGATTACTTAGAAAAATATAAGAATTTTTGCAAAAAAACTGTTCCGAAGTGGTCTAAAACTGTTTTTCATAATTATATCAAGCTCAGTAATGTGCGAGGAAAATTTTTCAGGGGGGTGGTTTTTCGAAACCAAAAATTTCTTTGGCAAATCAGACAAATTTTCGTTTTTTTTATGGAAGTCACTTTTTGAGGCGAAAATCCCCAGCAAATTGAAAGAATTTTCTATGCGAAAAACCCTAGCAAATCGGAAAAAATTCTCTCGGAACCAAAAACCCCAGCAAATTGAAAGAATTCTCCTCAATTTTCTACATTGATGAGCTAAAAAAAAGGTCTCCACTTTTAGAATCAAAAACCCTAGCAAATTCGAATAATTTTCGCGAAAAAAAATTTCTCATCCAATCACAGGGGGTTAACGAATCTTTCGATACTATATCAATGTTTTTGACATAAATCATTGTTTTTTTTTAAGTGACAAGAATCTTTAATAAAATTTTTATTCTTAATTATATATTTATATAAAAGAATATAAAATACATGAGTGTATCATTGGAATAATTCTATATTTGTAATGTCCATTTGATTAACTGAGAATGAATGTGAGACTTCTTCCGAGATTTCAATAAACTTTTAAACTGTCATAAAAAATCACAATTTTTGTATGTTCGCGTTACATTTGAATAAAATCTCAGGAGAATCTCAACCTCATGTCATTTGTAATTTGACATTCTTATTATGTTTGCATTCTATACTTTATTCTAAAAAATATTTTCCATGGAGAAATTGCGATTATGTGAAAAAATAGTTAATAACTTATAGATGAATATCAAACATGAGAAAAAACAATTCATGATCATACACACATATGCATCACTTAGAAGAATCAAAAAGTAAAACACATTCGAACCAAATGTCAATACAAACCCATAGGCAGCTAACGCTGGATCATATGGATAATATCCTGTCGTAGGTTGAAGTCCAGCTGATGTCCAAGCACCCATATCAGTACCAGGTGGTCCGCTATCTTTTAAACCATATGGATTACTCTGTTAAAGAAAAAAATCTGATCAGGAATTTTTATTTCAACTATTTTATCGACAGGTTTATTGAAAACTATGCAGTTTTCAATAGTAAAATTCTCGCATTTGACGTCTCAATCTCTTTGTTTCCATAAAATTAAATAAATTTCTGATAGAATTAAAGTCACATATTAAGGTCATGTTTAGCTGATCTGACATGCAGCAACAAATATTCCAGTGGTACAAATTAAAAGCTTATAACGGTCATAAGATTAAACGAAGGTTTAATCAATAGGACAAGACGGCATGTTCAAAGGTATACCGGGTTAAAATAAATTATAACGATAATGGTTAATTTTCAATATCTTATCTTGAACAAATAATTCAAGATATGTTTGTGTGTTTCATTTTTTAATCAATCGGAAAGCAACAAATAAATTTACCGATGAAAATTCATCATTTCGTTTCTTATGATAAATCAAAACACTAATATAAAGTTGATAAACACTCAATTTCAATTGTGAATGAGTTAAAGTAAGATAAAATAAGAATGCCAAAAGTAAATGTCAATTCTGAATGGAAAAGATAAGTATTTTTTTCAATATTTTTTTTATATTTCACCTTAGTCAATTATTTATTGTGTTCATTCCATATGAATTCATTGTTAAGCAATCACATATCTTTTATTGGCGTTGCGATAATAATATGAGAAATTCATAAGGGAGAGTGCGGCAAAGTCAAACGATGGTTGTTTTTCTTTTCTTTTTTTAAATGATATGGAAAATGTGATTGGCAATGTAATGTTTGCATTTGGAAAAACGTGTTTTTGTGTGCTAAAAAAAGAAATTGTGTGCCGTCAATGTCGATTTGTTCTGATACTTTGTTCGATTAATATCTAATGGTAAGGATTTTTTTCAAATCAGAGGAATTGGAATTTAATACTTTTGAAAATTTCATTAATAAATGTAAATGGATTATTTTTTAATCCCAACATTGTATGAATTGCTCATGAAATTGCTATGCATTAATTAATAATTATTAATTTATATGTGTCGCCATCTACTGAAAGATGATGGAATTAAAGACATACAATTTTGCCAAATAACATCAGAAAGATTGTTCCTTGATCTCAAATTTAGATGTTGCCACCAACACAAAATTCATTCTATTTTTTGAATATCCTTTAAAGAACTACTGACGAAATTTGAGCCAAATGCATTTACCTAGGCATTTACTGAGTCATTATTTTTTGGCAGATATAAGGTCCACCAAGCTATACCACCAGAACAGTAGTGTGCGAGGAAAATTTTTCAGGGAGAGCAGGTGGTTTTTCGAAACCAAAAAATTATTTACCAAATTAGACAAATTTTCGTTTTTTATTTTTTGGAAGTCACTTTTTGAGGCGAAAATCCCTAGCAAATCGAAAGAATTTTCTATGCGAAAAACCCTAGCAAATCGGAAAAAATTCTCTCGGAACCAAAAACCCCAGCAAATTGAAAGAATTCTCCTCAATTTTCTACATTGATGAGCTAAAAAAAAGGTCTTCACTTCTTCGCGAAAAAAATCACATTAATAATATTAATCAATAAAATTCTGCATTTCATTTAAAATTTTGCAGAGAGACTTTTTGTCCAATAGGCTTAAATAGAAAAAAATCTCCAAAAGTGAAAGGTGGTCGAAGTTCAATTCCAATCGCCAAACTAATAGGGTCACAAATTAGTCACTAAATCCCGCAGTTTGCAAGGCAATCACAAAGAAATGTCCAGCCTGGATAACAACAATTAGGGAAATGTCCAATTATTGAACCATTCATATCTATTTTTGGTTATTAGAAAATATGGTTAATACGGTTGATATTTTTGTGTGTAAAAATGGTTACCGATGGACCTTTGACTTTGCTATATCACTTTTCGATTTTAGACTTTATAAGTGATGCCCTTTCAACTTGAAAGTTTCAAGTGATGTAGTCGAGGATGTTGCACTGAAACAAGCGGACATTTTTCAGAACTTTCTGAAGAAAATTGTAGTAGAAGGAGTAAGCTTTCATATAATGACTCATTTGTGAAAAACGTAGGACAACATTTATAGTATACATTTTTTAGATTTGACAAATTGGAGTATTTATTTGTGTGAATAAGTGAAAATAACGAAATATTGATAAAGAGGCATCAGATTTTGAGTTCATGCATAATGAGTGAATTGTATCAGTTGAAAATTAAAGTTACGCAGAAAACATAACTCGCGTCCATAAGAACAATTTTATTTCTATCCAAAAATGGTGACAAAAAACGTAAAATTTATGATTTTATTCTGTTTTTATTTTTTTAGTCATATTCACTTAAGAATTCCCCACATGAAAGTCCCAACTATAGGCGACAATAGGAACGATTCACTCTGACTGGTTGTAATAAATACGGGATAGCTATTTTTCGGATACTTTGCAAACTTAAGAACGATTGAATTGATATCATATATAAAGAGCCAATAGCAGCGATTACGCTCCACAGGTTAAAAACAACAATTGTCGCGCAACAGCAGCGTACACAGCATGATCTTAACATATAGTCACTTATGACTGGGGAAGAAGCTTGACATATATGATTCAAATGATATGAAATGAAGACAATAGTAACGTCTATCTGATAAAAGTTCCTTGAAAAATCGTGTTTTACACAAGATATCGAAAGAATGAGATGAGAGGCGACGGGTTGATTTCATTTTTTATATCCATATCTATATAAATTTATCTGCGTTTGAACTTTTTAAGTCATAATAAAAATGATTGGCAACATATCAACAATTCCAATACAAATAGCATGTGAAAAAACAATTAAGACTAAACAAGCGGAATCTTAGTGAAAATCGTCGCGTTTGGTGATTGAAACAAGTTTTAAACTTAATGTCTCATTTTTATTTATGTTAGCGTGACATGTATGCTGTTGTTGTTTACCTGGTTTATTACAACATGCTATCACATATGAATCAAAGAGAACTGCGATTCTGATAAAAATAAAAGGATAACATGTATTTTTGCATGTAATTGCACATATTTGAACATTTATATGAATTTTTATATTTTAATAAAACTGTGATTTGGATGAGAATTTCTTTTCGCGAAAATTATTCTAATTTGCTAGGGTTTTTGATTCTCAAAGTGGAGACCTTTTTTTTAGCTCATCAATGTAGAAAATTGAGGAGAATTCTTTCAATTTGTTGGGGTTTTTGGTTCCGAGAGGTTTTTTTCCGATTTGCTAGGGATTTTCGACTCAAAAAGTGACTTCCATAAAAAAAAACGAAAATTTGTCTGATTTACTAGAGAATTTTTTGGTTTCGAATGCTGTTTGAATGCTGAAGCGAATGGTATTAAAGTATGGTATTTGAAAATATGGTTAAAGATGATTTGAATGGAGGAGAGATACTCAAGACCTGGCTCTCTCTCTGGATAAGAGTATTGTTAGGAGGACCACCATTCCGAAAAGGCCAGACGCATAAAAGCAATTGTCTATAAATGTTCGTTGTTCTTTTAATTTGATTGATCTTTCATAACTGTAAAAAATGCGATTATATTTTCAATTTAATTTAACTCTCGATATTCCGACAAATAGTTAAGTGTCGACATGTGGCAATTTAATGTAAACAATGTTTACTAAACATATAATTGCATGATGATGATCGTGTATAATATAACCGAAATTAGTTGAACTTACCAATGGAGAATAAAAAGCTGAACTATCTACACCAATAGATGGATATGGATTTTGATCCGTAGATGGATATGGTGTTCCATAAACGCTAACTCCAGTCGCTGGTATGCGAGAGTAACCAGACAAAGCCAATCTTGCAGAGTCATATTGACACGAACAAACTGTTTGTCCGGAAACAGGATCTGTCATAATTGGTCTCCCGTTTTCGCAACACGATTGTACTGGTGCTGCAGCATTTGATGTTTGTGATTGAGCACCAGGACTTATTGCCCCGCTTTGAACACCTGTTGCTGAACCGCATCCAGGACTTATCGAAGGCCCACTGATTTTATTCAAAACAATAGAATAGTAAAATAAAATATAGATTTAAACGAGAAGACAACTAGAAATTGTCATCAATTGATTTAATTACCCATTATTTGCATTTCCAACGAGTGTACCCGACGAAGTAGTTCCACTGTTCCCAGGCACAGGCGACTGAGCGCTTCCAGATGGAGTTTGCCCACTTGCACTTAGTAACTGATTCAAATAGAAAACAAAGTCGTTATAATTCTATGCATACCAAAGATATTTTTAGTTATAATTGATTAATATTTTTAAAGTACGTTTAACTTTTAAAATGAACGAATATTTGCAATGATATTTTATCCACGTATTTCACCAATTCGAAGCTGTCAAATTTATAATTTTTTTTAAAGCAAGGTATTGTTTTTTATTTTATCAATTCTTTTGCTCATATGGTTATGGTTTGGGTTTCAAATTTAAGCTGAATATTTAATACTTGACAAAACGAAGATAGAACAAATTTTTTATAAGGCTTTTCTAAATAAAGTGTTTCATGTTTTGAAGAAAACATTAGACTTTTATTGATGGTGTATGAATTTTATCCAGGAAACACATGCGCAAGATAGATCATTGTTATTATAAATAAAAAGTCTTGCACTGTAAGACGAACTTTTCCGCCATGTACATCACGATATATGTTCGGATTCAGGAAACAAATATAATAATAATAAAATACAATGTAATTCTTCTTGATTCTATTTATTGTTCTCTCTCTGATGGTCTTATATCAACTAACTACTAAACGCCAGTCGGTCTCTCGCGTCACTCTATCGCGTATGCCTGTGCTGTGTGTTTGCCTGTGCTTGTATTCCTGTGCGTGCGTGATTGTGTATGAGTGCTATGCTCTCTCACGTATGCCTGTGTATGTACGCTTCTAACAATATATATACAAAAACAACTCAATTCACGGCAGACGTTTAACCGATCTCAATAACCATGTTAAACTGTGTTAGACCACGATGGACCGTGATGGCTGACCAAAATAACCGTATTAAATGGTGTTGAACCATTATGTTCGACTAAAATAACCGCGTCAAATCCTCCTAATTTAGGTTCGAGGAATCCAAATCGACCATTCAACTATATGGACACGGAAAAAATTTAGAGAACGGGGTCAATCAGCCAATCAAAAACCATAGGAAATCAAAAGAACTTTTCTTTCAAAAAACCTTCGCAAAACAGAATTAGATCAGACGATTTAAGAGCTAAGAGGGGGGTTATCCGTGCATGTATACATTAAATTAACAAATGTTGACATCCCCCATACAAACTTTTTAAAAATGAAAAATTTATGCAATATAAAACCATGATGGAGTGGACCATTTTCGTCCAAAATCTAATGGTATTTATTTCTCAATATTCCAAACCATCGTATAAAATCAGATTTAAAAAATCTATCACGAGAAAAGAGATAATGGGTGAATAAAAACGGTCACGTACGACATAGAACAGAACCACAACAACCATTATTTTTCATCTAGAAAAGGTCATCTCCGACCATTTTGAGAATTTTTATTTTTAGGCCCCATTACAATACTTTTCCCTTCACACTATGTGCGGGCGGAAAAGTGAAATATTTCGAAAATTAAAAAAAAATCTCAGTTTTAACTAAAATAAGAATTTTCCGCTAATAGAGTTACTCGGAGATATTAAATACATTAGAATAATTCCTTGAAATATTATCAAATCTAAATGTATAACAATCAATAATAATAAAATTTTCGGGCATATTTTTTTACAAGCTGTGTAGCTTAGGGTGGAACTATTTTTAAATTTGGTGTCATATCTCTACGTGTATTTTTCAACTTTATATTTGATATAAGAAATGAAAAATGCAAAATAGACTTACAACAGTGCCATTTCAGCGGTAACCGTGTTTTTCATACAAAACTCCCATGTATGGTAAAAAATCGCGAGAAATGAAAAAAAAAAAATTTTTTTTCTCTGATTTGCAACTACTACTGTTTTCTACAACTTTTTGGTATTTTTTTTCTACAATTTTTCTGTCATTTGGTGCGACAGAATGTATGAAATTGCTATCTCTATCACCCAAATCATTGTCCAATGCTATCTCGCTCACCCTTGCATGTAATTTCTTTATGTAAGGCATTGTGCTTACAAACAACATTCTATTGACATACAATTACGCAATAAAATTTGCTGATATAAGCCATTTGATTGTATATGAAATTTGATAATAAGAAGTTTTTTCACTTCTTGTGTGTTCTATACCGAGCCTCAATTGTCATTCAAACTTCGCAAACAAGTAGATTTGTTGAAATTTGCGAAATTTCATGTCGGTGTCATGAGGTTTTGAGTTACTCCTGTTCGTTTACATCACGAAATTTTCATTTGACGATTTTTATCAAAAAATAGTCAAATTGTTGATGTTTGAGTGATTACTTGGAACAATTAGACTTTTCTTCTAAACAACTTATTGTTGTTGGTATTGATCTTAGCCTCACTTATGATGAAAATAGGATGTCAACAATGTTGTACTTTTATTTCTGGAGTGACCAACATTTCTGTTCGAAGACTAAATTGGTTGGAATTAAAAGTAATTTAACAATTCTGAATATTTTCAACAAAATCCATATCTAAAATACACATTTTTTATGGTTTAAATGCAAAAATACTAAATCGCCACATGAAAATTTCTTGCTGTAAACGAACAGATGTAATTCAAAACCACTGACATGAAATTATAATTATCTTAACGCTTCAAAAATGCTTTTATCATTGATAACATTTGTCCGTTATATGGGATTTTACTATTTAAAAAGGAAATTTAGATCTAAATTAATTTTTACATTTTTTTCTTTGTCTTTCACTTTTGTTTTTGTTATTTTGTCCCATTATTATAAGCAAATGTTCGAAAAATGTCGCATTACATGTATTTGCATAAGAAATTGCTAACCACGAACGCAATTGATGTTTTTTGCGATAGTGAATTACATATTTGTCATTTTGTGCCACTTCTCATTAAGTGGTATCTAAATGGAAAGTTAATTGAGTTGATGAACAAAAATGAGGAGCAGATGCCAACTGCAACAGTCCTTGTATGTCATGTTATTTGAGTGCGAAAACAAAATTGAAAACATTTTTCTGCTTATAACACAAGCAAATATCAAATTCCGCATAATTATTGTTCTTTCCTTCTTTTCATTTGCCAGTAAATGGTATAAATTGAAATATATTCACGCCAATACAGAAACAGTGTGAACTAAAAATGATCACAAATTAAAAAAAAAAACAAATGATTAGAAGCATTTAATGTTTTAACAATAATGCGAAACACTTCAATTTACTAATGAAATAAAAAAGAACAAAAGGAGTCAACGAAAAGGAAAGTTAAATTATGTGGTAAATATTAGTCGGGCGACAGATGAACTTCATCATTACTAATCATGCTAAACTAGCTGCTCAGTATTGGTTGTATACGATTTTAACAACTCGTTGGTGCATTTACATTAAACCATGTGTATTTTACCTTGTAAAGCAGACTATTTTCAATTTTCAGGTCCAATTTATATGAAATAAGTATGTGTATATCCATTGTTGCTTTGATCATTCATTCGCATGTAATATTTATTCAATATTATCGTTTGCTGCAAAAATTGCACCTGTCTTGTATTTGTTTAATTGATATTCATTTGAATGTTTCAGTTTTACTTTCGTTTATAAGTTTTGCAATTGACATTCAAATCCCAACTCATAATAACATTTTGATCATCAAACGCACACACGCAAACAAGTATATTTCTAGAGAGAGATCAAAAATTATACAAAAAATCCTTAGAATTGTTTCAATCGCTATTTATAAAATCGCACATATGTGAAATCATCAATTCGAAATGTATAGTTCAAGGGCTACCTGCCAAGGTGAAGTTACGGTTTGAGCACGTCGCCATTCCAAAAGAACCTCATTCCATTGATAAAAACTGTTCTGAATCGTTTTTTTTATCTTTATTAATGGATGTAATTGATATTTTTAAATAATGATTCGAACTGAACTTATGGGATGAAATTCGTTTGTCATCTTAATAATTTAAACAGATAAAAACAATAGTGATACACGATGTGAGAACATTCACATCGTTTTAATATTAAATACAGTTAGTTATTTGTCAATCAAATCATCGAAAGACATCATGCAAACGATATGGCGGTTTAATACACATAATTGCTAATATTTATTATTTATTATCATGGTATTCGAACTTCTGCTATGGCGTCTTTCCTTTTATCGCCTTGTCTAAATCATCAATTATGCGTGCTCACAAAGAAGAAAAAGCAAGAAATACTGAAGAGAAAGGTAATTGTGAAAAAGCTACTGTCACTCATGCCGTTATGTTGAATACTCAACAACGTTCTGCTATGTTGTCTGCTCGCTGTTAGTTACTGTCTGCTTTGAAGTATTTTTTTGTTTGGTTAACGCTTTTACAGAGATGTAATGCGCACTGATATGTCAACTCAACTATTCCATGAGAATTCTAAATAAATTACAATTTAGTTTTTGTTAATTTCTTGTACTTATTTTGCTTCTCTTTTGATTCTTTCCTTTGGTTGGTTAAATGCTTAATTATTCGTTTCGCGATTGCAATCGAATGAGACGTAAAACTGTGTGATCGCAAAACAGAACACGTTTACTTCTCTTTTTTTAGTCCTTACTTTCTCACTTGTGAATATAATCGGGAAAAATATGTCAGTTGTGATCGGAGAGTGTTACTTAAACAACTCCATCGTTGGCGTTATCGTTGTCAGATATACTTTTTTTTGTTTTCCTCACTAAAATACGCAGACGTACTAGACATTTTTTTTTCGGTATTGATATTTACGGCACCATGGTAAGAACGGCACGTAAAATACCTTTAGGGAAGAAGCAATTTATAAATATTCATTATGATAAATATTAGCATGTATATTTTTGTTTCTCTTTTCTTCCTCTCACACTCTAAATTTAATTGTTAACTGCTGCTTTATACATTTCTTTTGTCGCTTCTATAAATTAAAGCAAAAACGAGAAAATAAATGAAGTTTTGCCACCAAACGCACCTTCGGAAACTGTTAAATTTTTAAAATTTATGTTCATGTCTAAAAAGAATTTCTACTGTGGAATTTCTTTTGCTGTGAATATTGACAATCAGCCCTCTTGGCTTCTCCTAGGTTTAATAGACAACTTTAAGCATTTCTATTATTATTAAGGATTCATTACGAAACCATAACGGTATTCAAGGACTTTGTTCAAGAAGATCAACATCTTTATTCCCCTACTTGAGCACAAAGACGAAAATAAATTTACATTTCCTTAGCTATTATTATCGTGATTTTAACTGAAAAAACTTGAGTGAATGATAATCATTTTTCACAACATTTAACAAAACTATTACATAAAAACTTTCAGAAAACAGTTACAACTAATGATAAGATTTCTTGAAAAGCGAAAATTCATTCTGTATAATTTTCAAAATTATAAAAAAGGTATCATCGTTTTGGATAAGCATCTATAAGCTAGCGTAGTTTTTACGTTACTTATACTATGTTGGTAAGCAATTATTCTATTTTTTTTTTAACTTTTTTCGTTTAAATAATTTGAATTGCGGTAATATTGTTATGCACCGCTGACTTTAAACGATCCCCGATTCTTGTTGTTGAAATTAATTATTTTTTTTACAAATATTGAAACTTTGAAATTATATATGTCATCTTCGTTCGTACAATTTTTCTTAGTTTTTTTTAAACACAACTTCATTACCGCAAATTATCGTACAATTTGATGAGCACAATTTTTGTAAATTGAGGTGCACAAGAAGGTGCAAAAAATGTAACATGATTTTTTAAGCGATAAAATTGTTGTAGATTGTTCAAAAATTTGTAACAGAATATGCAAATAATGTGCTTTGTGCTAAAATTGGCAAAATTTATATTTTTAAATTCTAGAACAGTGAAATTTTGCGAGATTTTCCAAGTCGAACATATTGAATTTTAATTAATTTATTAAATTTTATACACAACTAAAACGAAAAGGATATTAGGGAAATTATGACAAAGTCTAATTCTTTCTCAAGCATCATTCACATGTGCTATGAATGTATTTTCAAATCACTATAAGTTGCAAATATATCATTCACAAAATTAAATTAAATCTTTTGGTAAAAATATAATAATGGGTTAGAATAAAAACCCGACTTTTATTTTGAATCTTTAAAAGTGGAACAACTCCATACAAAATGAGATCAAACTCGTATATAGTAGTTCTGCTTTTATAGACACAAAATTCAAGTCGAGTTTTTATTCTAGCCCATTCATATTTGTAATATAGATATTATTCAAAATAGGTTTCAATCATATTGGTTTTAGTGATGACAGAATTTTATTATTGAACAAATATAAACAAGCGCTTGCGCATTTAAAATATGACAACAAGCAGGAAAATATACGAGATATACAAAATCTTGATAATTCGTTCAATTCTTATTAGTATTTATGTTTATATTAGAAAAAATAATATACCAATCGAAAACTTGATTTAAACAAACCTGATTTGCCGACGGATAGCCGTAACCAAATTGGGTGTAAGAAGCCATTTTTTGTATATACGAATTGAATTGAATTGTACAACAATTAACTATATACCTTAACTGATTATTACTTTATTTGTTTGAGTAAAAAAATTGCAATTTAATAAAATTCTATCTACAAAAACAAAAAACGTAGAACCGGGGTCAATCGAGTATAAACACACACATTTACAAATCATTTAAAGTCATAACTTAAAAAAATATTAAAAGTTCTTGTCAATCATGTCAAAAAAGTGTTATCAAATGTTCTGGACATATTTTTTCACAAGAAGTTTACATCTTTTGATAGATTCGCATATATTTTTATAGAACGTGATATCCATTCTAGATTAAATATTTATACGTATTCACAATTTTTTTCCTGTTCATTGAAAAATTATAAACTGTTCACGATTTATCTGCAATGGAAAAACACTTTATTGTAATATTTCGAAATGAATTTGTTATTTGGAAACAGTTCACATTTTAACACCAACAAAATCGCACAAAACAAGGTAAATGAAAATTTCTTTGTACAAACGTTGATTCACTGAAATCAATAGTAAAAACTAAAGTTTGTTTTCATTTTGATTGGACTGTTTAATATTTTTCTTTGCAAACATGGAATTTATTAAAAAAAATCACTGTCCCTTCTGTCCACGATGTATTTTTCTCACAATTTATTATGCACAAGGAAAAAATGAAAACCAAAGTATTAAGATTTATTTCACTTCATACTTTAGTGTAATTCAATACACAATCATTTCAATCCATGAACGGTTTAGGCAATTAAAATGGATCACACAAACAAATAGTTAAGATTCTAGTAGTAACAATAACAATAACAACATTTAGATAGCATGTGTGATCAATGGCATCAGTCAGCACTTTTCTTTTGTTTTGTTTTATAAATATAAGTAAACAGTTTATGAAAAAAACCACACAAATCATCAACTATCTATAAGTTACACAAATATCTCGTAACTGTTCCATTTGCTAATCCACCACATTTTTTTGGTAGTTGCAATTTCTGATTCACCAAGGTACACCACAAACATCAGTAATAAAATTCCTGGAAAACTCCGACAAATTGAACTAAGAACAACGTGATTAAGTACACTTAATGTAAATATTTCAAACTGCGATTTTCCACCCGCTGAAAATTTGAGTAAATTCAGTCCAATGTATCTATATGGCTTTTAGTTTTGCACGTATACGTTTACGATTAAAATATTCTTATCTTTTTCGTACAAGTAGAACAATTTTCGTATACGGTGCGCAACATGCGTAACATTTGATGCGCACTCGTTCACGTTTGAACACAAACTATAGAAGCCAGCTATAGAACCACAAGCTCTTCCACTGTTTTGAGCTCGACTGGTGGGGTAATCGGTTTGTAGTAGCGACGAACCGGCTAAGAATGTTCGTTCTATCTCATTTACTTTAATACGATTGCAGTATAAGACGCATATGATGAAACGGTACAACTACATACTCAAGTTGTATGAAATGAACTATATACGTCGGTATTTTATTCAATGTGAGTCGAATTGAAAACAAGCCCACTCAAAAACGTTACTGTTTTGATGTACCGTTCATGCATTCAATCAGCTAAAGCTCATTCATATCATATGCTCCGCCTTCAAATGTTTTACTCCGATATCTGTTTATCAGCTATGATTTGACGAAATTGAAAGTATTTTGTTACAAAATATTGGTGAGTGTATCGTATAGTTAGAGCAATGAATATGATCTAAACTGAAATGTCGGAATGTAAAAGGAGAATACTTGAATATTAAATGTGACACCCATTTTATTGAATACGCCCACTTCTACACAGAGAGTAAAAAGTGGGAATTGAGGGACTTTGTTACTTCGTTTTTATATTGTGTATTTAAGAACGAGTCTGCGTAATATTGTCGTTGGTTTTGGCATTACATCAGATGCAGAATTACCGCGAAATACCCCTACTGGAGATGCGTTAGGAATTTGTACACATTTTTGAGAAACCAAAACAAGATGTTACTCTATATGGTACACGTGTTCCATTCACTTCATTCAAAAAATTGACGAAGATGCTCAATGAGGGATGTTTGAAAACTTACACCAACAGTTGAAAAATAACGTAGAAAACTATAAAAAGAAATGATACGATATATACATTGTAAATAAATACATTAAATTTCTACATGTGACATGTCTTATAATAAAACATATGTTATAGTTACAACAATTGATAAAAAAAATTCTCTTTTATTTTGATTAAAATAAACCGTTTTTTTTTTGCAGGAGGCAGGTAGTCAAACTAACTTCTAAGAAATGACCATTTCAGTAGTCAAAACTATTTGTGTAGTCAAATTCTTATTCTACGTTCTGGAGTATATTGGAGAGTTGTAATTGTTGCACAAATAAGTATCTATTTTAATTAAATGTCCTTCAGATAAGTCTCGAAACTTGAAAAAAATATCAAATTTGAAAACTATCTGTAAAAACCAACAGAAATGTGGTAAATTTTCCAATTTATTCAAGGAATACCGTCGGATATATATATGTATATATATATATATATATATATATATATATTCGCTTAGAGGAATTTATGAGGTACTTTTCGACCTTGTGACATTTATTGATTGTCAAAACATAAGTAAAACTTTTGAAATTTGAATTACATCTATTTTAGATTCATATAAACATATTAATTTGACGATATTCGCTGATGTACATCAATCGCCCAAAAGAGTTCAATGCGGTTTACCAAGATTGAAACAATGTTGCAATAAATGTATTATACTATAATCAGTTTTTTTTAGCATGAAAATTCAAATTATTAGAAGAACCAGAAAAAAAACGTTGATATAAATTTTCCGTTTGATTCGTATTTATTTACCGAAATTAAAACAAATGCTTGATTTTGATGTAGTATCAGATAGTGTAAATTATTCTTCTCTCTGTTCGAAACGATACACTTTTTGGTCTTCAATAATATTCATGAATGACTAAAAAGAAATAGAGATGAATAAAGATAACTAAAAACGATTAAAATCAAATCAAACAATTGTAACATTTTTCTTTGTACATACTATTCTTATGGAGCTTAAATAATCAATACAAGATGGCAGCAGCTCTTATTTCATTTACAATGTTTCTTATGTACTGTTCGACTTCTTATTTAATTATTTTAGTACTTTTTTACTTGATTTTCATCAACAAACTAAATCGACTGACTAAATAAAGAGTCTTACACGAGTATGATGAAATTTTCCGCACTGTGATCCACAACATGCATTTATTACATATCATTTTTCACGAGAAAACTGAATCTTACAATAGTTTTGCGAAACAAATAATTTTTAAATTTTGAGAATTTTGTGGGAATTTTTGTATGGAATCAATGCCTGTATGACATCGTAACAACGTGAAACTTTGCACGAGAAATTTTTTTCACAAAAAGCTAACATTCTGAAAGTTTGAAAAAATTTCAATTCAATTTAGGGGTACCTTCGATACAAAATTTTCGTTTTTGAGCGAAAAATCCAAAATTTTGTTCGGGAGATACCCTTAATATGCACTGAAATGTCTTCAAACTTTCAGAATGTTGTTTTTTTTTTGAAAATAATAACCTGTGAAAAGTTTCAGATCATTACGCAATCATGGCTTCCAAACAAAAGTCCAAATTTTTGTATGAAAAGTGTACTTAAAATTATTTGTATCGTATTCGGTTTTCTCGTACCAAAAAAAAACCCATAACACATTTTTGAGTGTTTAAGTATACATTAAATATCACTTTTGGAAGAAAAATTACATTTTTTCCATGGGCATAACCCCAGAGCCCAGACAGACACGTGTATCGTGTTAACAAATTTTTGCATACAGGGTACATGGTACAGCGTACAGGGTACGCACATACATTCGGGCATCGAGAAAACGCTAGATTCGTGTTCCCTGGCCCCATAAACACCCAGAAAACACATTTTTGATGGGTGTTTTTTTTCGACCGATTCCAATACTTTACCTCATACACTAGGTGTGTGCGGAAAAGAAAAAGGTGAGTTTTGTATTGGGTATATACATCGCAATGAAGTGAAAATTTACACAAATTATTTTTTTTACAAAAAATTAATATTTTGAAAGCTTGAAAAATTTTCAATCAAAATTAAGTGTACCTCCCATACAACATTTTCGTTGACAACAAAAAACACAAATTTCAATTTATCCTTATTGACATTTGTGATATGTCAGGTGTGTCTCCCGAATGGTGAACTTTGGTATGATAACAGTTTCCTGCATCCCCTTTACACGAATAGAAGAAAACTAAAACAATATGTTTTTTCTAATTTTCACAATATCTAAACTAATAGGATCCCAAAATTCATTTTGTCGGTTTTATATTATTATTTAAAAATATTTCTTTATTTATTTTGAATAAAATATCAGTCATAGGAACGCTGTAAGCTGCAGTCATTGTTTTTTTTTATTAATATACGATATTATTAATGAATTTTGAAGAGATGTGATTACAAAACATATAGGAGAGGCTGAGAACAAAAACACCACGTCGCATCCCACCTCTCTTGCTTACAGAAATTCCCGTAAGTGAGAGCAAGAGATGAGATGCGAAGTACTGTTTTTACTCTCAGCCTCTGATATGTGGAACATATTGTCTGGTAGTAATAATGAACCATCGATATTTAGTATCGTATTTTCATTTGCTTCTAATTAATTATTGACAATAGAAAATTATATATAAAGTTCATAATTAATATTTTAAGATTCATTAATTTATAATGGTGTTGTCTTTAATTATTGTTTTTTTAATGTAAGCTATACATGAAAATTTAAGTATTAAAAAGATGTAGAAAGTATTTTTTTGAAATACATTGAATTGTATTTGTATATGGGAATAGTAAAAAAATCACTGTTTTTTCACTCTCTATCTGTCATATTGGCAGATTAAACATTTATTTATATTAATTTAAATCCAATTTAAAATTAAACGGGAGTGAATAATTGGTTTATTTATAGATAAAAAAGTGCATACAAATTAAAAACACAGATAAACTCAATCTAACAGCAAACAAAAAGAAAAAAAATATATAAAAACCAAAATACACAACACTGTGCATGGACGGCATCAGTGCAATGCACTCTCGTATGAAATGTGTATTGTTCAGACTCGTCTGGATATTCGTTGCATGTGAACACATACATGTGTGGCGGTTTGATTACGACGATTCAAAATTCGATAAAGCGACAAAATTTGGCATGAAGCGAAGCAAATTATTC